TCCAGTCCCTCCGGAATTTTCACCTCGGTGCGGCGAGGGACAAGACTGTAATTACGAATGCTGAGAGGCAGAGTTTTATGGGTAGAGAATTTGAGCCGTTGTTAGTCAAATTGCCCGAGGCATCCGACATCAACGCAAAGAATTTTGGCTTCCCCGTTGAGATGTCTTGAACCAGAGGGCGAACTCTTGCAATGTGATAAGTGGCTATTCACAATGTAAAGGAAACTAAGTTCGTTGGAAAATGTGACTCACGGCCAGCATGAAGTCATGCGGGGTGGTTCAACTTGGTATATAGATGTAGGTATTCGTTCTGTACTTTTAATACACATTTATGCCGAAGGTGCCACTTACGTGATCCCAGTTGCCTATACATCTGTATGACATTGAATTGTAAACGGACTTTACAATTGAGAGAAAATTGTGCTCTGCATGCAGCCTTAAAGCATCTTTTTCTATTTTGTAAGAATGAGACTGAATAATTGGTTTTTTTCTGTACGGCACCCAACCAGTGTCAGCTGAGTAAACGTTCCAGTGCCATCACAAAAGTGGACTAGGCTCATGGAAATTTTAAGATTCTAATCAAGATATGATTGATGCTCCGCAGCCCGAGAGCAACAACGCTAATTTTCAAGTAAATATCACCAAAACATTTCGGCTGAAAACTCAGCCTTCCTCAAATGGATAAAACGGTAAAAAAATGTAAGAATCTACAAATATAGTGCTTGGCTGTACCTTCCAAAGTGAGAACAATGTTGTTAACATGTTTTATCCAACTGAGGAAGGCTGAGTTTTCAGCCAAAACGTCTTGGTGATATTCACCTGAAAATTAGCCTTGTTACCCAATGTGTAATTTGTTTTATTATTAAAGTTTACCAAAATGCAAGCAATACTTATTTTATCATTGAATACATACACAATCCTAATGTGCGCTATATGAACACTACAGCTCCAAAATTTCATGTTTCTGTTATACACAACGTTTTGTTGTAAAGCACGCTTGAATCCTAGGGATTCGAAGCCCGTCAACCTGCACTCAAATCCCACAAAATCTGCGCGCGTTGCCAAAAAACTGCCAGGCTGAGAGGGAAGGGTTCTCACAGACCTGCACCGGCAAATCCTGCATTATAGTGGTCGGTTTTACAACAGTGTTTCACATTTGTTTAGACCCTCTGAGAAGTCCCTGCCCGGAGAGAGTAAGCTTTTCTGCATAAATGCATAACAGCGAAGACAGCCTAATGGACTGTCCGCTGTCCGCTTTTCATTTCGGTGCGTTCGGTCAAGCGTAAAAACAGACATTGTGCGTCAGAAAGGGTTGCTTGTTTTAATACATAAGTGCGAACTTCGCGGTCATAAAAGCCACCAACATGAATTGAGAAATATGAGGAGAACGTTTTGACTCTTATTAGTCGCATGCGCCTGAATTGTTATCGACTAATAGAATTGCTGAGATCAGGGTTGCAAGCTCAATCCAAAATCAAAATTCTGTAACTTTTTCGTGACATCTCCTGACTTTTTGGAAAAATTCCCTGACTGTTACCTGAATTTTCCGTGACTCCTTACAAAGGAAACAGAATAAGGTTCGTTTCAAAACAGCGATGCAAACTTTGAAGCACGCAATGGTATTTATGAGGCTGAAATTTGCAATAACAGATACGAGCACGGGAACGATGCTAAATTCTATCTTTTACAACTTATCTTAATATCAATATCAAAATATTTTTCTGCGGGGAGAATCAATAAGTAAACGTTACTGCAAGACGTTTCGCTTCGTGGTCATTAAAAACAACGAAGATTACGATTAAAGTCACTCGCCTAGCGGACATCGTGCCGGGCTGAAATTAGTGATACAACTATTTTAACTCCTGAGCCGCTCAAATTGTATCCATCGAGTTGAAGGCGAACTTGATTCCTCACTCTCATTTTCAATTATTCAGGCATGATCGCGAGAGCGGGACCACATTTTGGGTTTTGTATCCTATCTGGATGTCAACATAAAAAAAAAAAAATGTTTTCCTGTGGGGAGATCCGAGTAAATGGCACTTGATTTTTTGCTGTGATGGTAAATAAAAACAAGAGGATTACAGTTGAAGTCGCTTGCTTTTCGGACACCGCACCGGAACAAAATACGCTATACAACTATTTCAACTCCTGAGCCACTTAAATTGCATTCATCGAGATGAAGGCGAACTTGATTTCTGATTCCCGTTTTCAATAGTTCAGAAATGAGCGCGAGAATACATGCATACATGCTATTTTTTGCAATTTATGGCAGTTTTTAGTAGAGTTAGGTGCAAAAACGGCCCGAGCGGGGTAAGGCTGTTTTGGCGGAGATTAACATTTCGGAATATACATATTGTCATTATTCCGCAATTGTTTGCATGCATGTTTTGAAAAGAAAAATAATTCAACTTTTTCTTTCATTTTTTTTTAAAATTATTATTAAAACCCTTATTTGTACCCCACTTAAGTTAAAAGTGATTCTGGTGACTATTCTGCACTACAAGTGACTGTTCAAAATGTAAGTGGATATTACATGATTTGCTATATAAGATCCTTGTAATACAGACTAGAAAAAGTTGACTCGTCAACTTGTGGAGCAATTTTTTTCAGGTATTCCCAACTAAATGTTACAGGGATTCAAACGAGAGACACGAGAAAACGTATTCTAGCTGTTCAGAGCGAAATTTTTTTAGAACAAGCCTGGGATCGAAGAGAGTAATAGGTATAATTTTACCTCCAAATGATGTTTTTTGCAATGTCATAATGAAAATTAAACATCTTCAGGGTGATCATCAGTTTGATGATCTTCAAAGGTACCTACTAAAATGTCTTCAAAGGTCATCTTGCCGGTGTTGCCGGGATTTGATACGTCCGTTCTCGTTTTTTTACCTCGAATTTGAGTGTCAGAATACGCGAATTTCCAAGTAAGGAAAACGCAACGGACCGTATAAGAATCAAGCAGCACCGCCTCAAAAATCATTACAGATTTTTTCGTACCTCCTCACTTTCCGGCCAAAGTATCACAAGCGTTATTCGACAAAATTTTCAAAATTTCTGCCCCCTATTTTACATTTTTACAGAGAAATTGTTCAACGAAGCTGTTCGACAATTTCACTGAATTTTCTCTATGCTGCCGATAAAATTCAGTGAAATTTTCAAACAGATTCAACCAACAATTTTCTGTAAAAAAATAAAGTGGCGGCGGAAATTTTGAAATGTTACATGACGCTTGTGATATTTTAGCCGGAAGATGACGACCTCTTAAGATCATTCAATCATCATCATGATGTTTTTTTTTAATTTGTGAGGCACCAATGCCGATGGTTTTTTCAGAGAACATTTCTAGTGCCACAGTAGCGGTGACAGTAACTACACATGGATTACACTTAGCAATAAGGAACCACTATCTCTGGCTCTCCATAAAAGCACTTATCTGCAAAGGGAAACCAATGTCATGAAGGATGTTTCGATTTCGAAAATGGGCCAAAAATAGTGGTTCCTTATTGCAAAATGTAATCCATATAGAGTACTGTATTTGACCACTCTGTAATCATCGATTTTGTCATGCTGTCCATGGATTCTCACAGAAGTAGGCATGAGCTACACATTTCTTGAATTGGTGCCGAGATACCTTCCACATTTTTTCTGACTAAAATATGCTGTCAGGAGATTAGAGACATTTCGACGGTGAAACTCCCAAACAATGTATCTCGGTTGCAGACTTTCTGTCATTCTTTATTTTTTAAATGTAGAACCACTCAACAATTTTCATATCCTTTAAAACCATCGTGATTTACCCTCTATTTGCGCGGAACGAATTCTAAAATAACTTCAAAGAATGATGCTGAATTTTTCGCCTTTATAAATTAAAAAAGGAGCGGAGATTTTTAAACACCACAAACGAGATACGTGGTTTTGTGAGTTTCACTGTCGATTTCTTACAGCTCGTTAACTTACTCTCTAACTCAAACTTATCAAAAATTAGTTCCGAGATGTAATAGTTTCACCATCGATATGATATGTAACGTATAACTAATTCACTCTCAGGAAAGTAGTACTAGTACCTCCCCGGTGAATGCGAAAAAAAAAAGAAAAAAAAATTTAAAAAGCCAAAAAATGGACAAAAATGTATCTTAATTGCACTATGTACATAAAACTTGGCAAAACTTGCACTATACGTAAAAATACATGATGAAAACAGGAGTTGAGCTACTAGCCGATTTTTCAAATACAAGCGCAATAATTGCGACTCACCGAAAAGATCTTGCCATGAAAATACTTAAACTTGAGTACTAAGTTTTATGTATGGTGCAAGTGAGTTAAAGTGTCGTTCATTTTTTATGAAATTTTTTAAAATTTTAATTGTTGACTGAAGTGGCAGCATTTTTTTTCATTTTTTCCTTTTCTTTTCTTTTCTTTCTGGGCAAGCGTCATAATATGGCATAAAATATTTTGTTGCCAATTTTTTTTGTTCGTTAATTTCAAATAATTTAAATTGATGGATGATTTTGAGATATAGTTGCATTAGTAATACTCGATATGCATACTGACGCACACTTATTTTTATACCTAATTTTTTTTTCTAGTAATTCTGATTGGTTTTATGCTCGTCATGTATACCAAACATTTATTAAAATTTGTGGTATTAAATGCTGAAATATGCAACGTAATATCAGATTCATAAACCATCTATGTATTGAAAGGTCAATGAATAAGGCGAGAGTCATGAAAAAATCCAGTGTAAGTACATTGAAACATTTTATTTATCATAATAAGAAAGAAAAAGAAATTAAGGAAAGAGAAACAGAGAAAATCGAGGGGGAGAAAGAAACAATGAAAAGATGTGATGAGTCTCAACATATCAACATCATAGGATTATATACAACCGGTGAAGTNGGCGTTAAATGCCGCAATGTGCAACTTAATATCAGATTCATAAACCATCTATGTATTGAAAGGTCAATGAATAAGGCGAGAGTCATGAAAAAATCCAGTGTAAGTACATTGAAACATTTTATTTATCATAATAAGAAAGAAAAAGAAATTAAGGAAAGAGAAACAGAGAAAATCGAGGGGGAGAAAGAAACAATGAAAAGATGTGATGAGTCTCAACATATCAACATCATAGGATTATATACAACCGGTGAAGTATTATAAATACACTTAATATTCTACGAGTATAACTACACTTTAATTTAATCAAATATAAATTAAAATGCTAACGAAAGTTATCAACATTCAGAATAGACTATGAGTTCATTGTATTCACAAAATAAAATATGTAAAAGTTTTTGATTAAAAATTACATGTCTGACTATGTAAGTTCCTTGAATTATTGTTATCATTACCGTGCTACTTCTGCAGCGAACTGAGTTTTTATCATAAATGCTCACCGCTACTCATCGCAATCGAAGTTGCTACACTATCTGACAATGAGTGCAGAAAAAAGGTAATTAAACCAAACTTAGATCATTTATGATTCGTAGTCTGTTTTAAATATTGAAGTAAAAATCACTTTCTTGGCAAAAAAAGCTAAAAATTGCATTCACAAATCAATAATCTTGACGAATTCTTTCAGAAATTTTGCTTTAAATACGTATTATTTGAAGTATGATCTAGAGAATACTACCTAGAGCCTAAAAAATCATCCGCAATTTTTGAGCGGGAAAGTTTTGAAACCCCTAAGAAAGCTCTTCTCTCTTTGAATAAAACAATCTATGGAAATGGTGATACTCCAGATTAAATTATACTGATCATACGATTCAGTTATGGTGAGTGAAAAACAAATCCTGACTGAAATTAAGGATTCCTGGGCTGCCAAATCGAACCCTCTTTTTTAGGCCCTGTGGTCTGGAATTTGTAAATTGTGAAAGACACGAGGAACTTCTTGTTCGATTACGTAGTGTTTATAGGTCCGAGTGCTCTACTACAGAATGCCAGATATTTCTTGTAATAATAACAATAACAATAGATAGAACAAAATAACAATCAATAACAATGATGCGTGTGTAATTTGGATACAATCAGTTTCTCGGATGGTTTTTTTGTTAGTTTATTTCCATTTCCAGTCTTGATCTATTGTGCGGTTTATTTCATAGATGCATAGTTGGGACCCGCGATAGCTGTCATTTTGCTGTTTGATGGGAACTTAAGTCAAGTGACAAAGGAAAATCTACATTTCACTGACAGCAGATGAATGGTGTTCAGTGGCAGAAACTATAATTTATATCACAATACATTATTAAAAAGTCATCGAAAATTTTTCGTACTGAAAATTTTCAAAACACAGATCTACTGCACGGCAGGAAAAATATACAATTTTGCACACGATTTAATAGTTCAAACAAATGACAATTCGTACCATTAATTATTTACAAAATTTGGTTGTGGTAGAAATCACCAAGAGCTTAAAGACAGGTTTTAATCTAGATACATTAACTTAACAGATTCGAAATTTTATTGCACATGAAAAAGCAACTTCTTTGTATTGCTTATTTAAAATGTCATCATTCTTCGTGAAAGAGGGATACAAGAACAGCAAGTAAATGGTTGATCACAATAATACTCGTATTACACACAGACTTTTGACTAAGAATTCAAGTTCATTTACATGAGATTGATTCTCACAGTTTGCACAAATTATGTAGAGCAAGAAAAATGGAAAAAGGGGAAAAAAGTGAGTTCATGTTAAAAAAAGAACAGTTTGTATTATTTGTCAAATTCTGATGGAAAATATGATTTACGAGAATAGAATTTTGGCGCCTTTAACTCACAACAAGTAAAAAGAAGTCTATAAATGTGAGAAATACCAGAGCAATCGCAGAGGGATTTCACATACACGTTTTTCATGAAAATCTGCTCTCTTCATTAAGAAGGACGGTACAAACAAATTTGAGAAATAGATCGATTAATAATTCAAACGTCCAAAACTTTTTGGCGAGCCCAGTTCCATGAGATCGGAGGCTACGATAAAAGGAACATATTGTTTCAAGTCTGATTTCGATAGTTCAAACACTGATTGAGTCTTCTCAGCTTACCAAGCCTTGTGAAATAAACTCGAGAGCTTATATTCAAAATAAAGGACATTAAAAAATGAGTGAGGATATGAAGATTGGAAGACTTAATGCTAAATAATATAAAATCAGCATATCTTAGTAAAAACACAACCAAAGAGCTGCGACTCATTTCACAGGCTGGCGATTGAGGTAAAAATGGTTCAAAATTTAGACATTTTTATCCCTCTACGATCTTGAATTGTGTATTCTTAACGTGTCATAGATTACATTGAGAAATGCATGTTGAAGAGACTCCTAATGAAACTAAATGTCGCGCAACTAAATTGAAAAAATTTAAGTACACCGGTTCGTTAAAAAGGTCCATTGGCAGATGACATTGTTCAAAGACAAATTAAGCATTGCACCTGACTTGCTTAGATTTATTCAACCAAAAAATGATTACATTGAAGAAGTCAAAATCAATAAATTAAATTGTCATGAGAGTCCTTAAAACATTCTAATAAGCTGTACATGAAATGAACATTTACAAATAAATACATTATCCTGTTGATGTAAGTAAGTACATTCAAAAGACTTATAAAAGGAAACATTTCTTAAAATCACAGTGTAATTAAAAATAAAAATGAGATAATGACTTATTAAATAACTTAGTTGCAAGAGAGTAAGGAACGATTAATAATCTATTAAATTTACTACTTAAACACGTAGGTTTACACTATCGTACATTGGCACATTGATTAATCATATTATAAATTCCTTACCTACAACCTAAACAGACAATGCTGAAACTTGATTTTTCTTCCAATTACAAAATTACATTAAGAGTAAAAAATTAAAATTAATGACTAACAAAACAACAAAGTTGCTTCGCCATCCTTGAGTGTACGTGTGCTACAACGGTACGCTAACCTAAAATATTACAGTCAATGTTAAAGAGGTATCGAGAACAGCAGCACCAAATATCAGTGACCCACCTAATTTAGCCTCATTGGCATTTTTAATCATACATTCAACTTGTTTTTAGGCTTAAAGAAAAGTTGATCAGAGAAAACGAAAGAGTTTCAAAAACAGAATTATGAGACTGATAAAGATCCTTTCATGAAATACAAGAGCCAATTACATCTATTTGCTGCAATGACTTGTATTATAGTTTTGACACAAGGATAATTCATTCAAGAGACAACATGGAGCGAATCTTACAGATATCGGACTGCATAGTTGTTTTTATTAAAGGTGGATAAAGTGCCAAGTTTTACGGCTCGTTTTTGTGGGAAAAAACAACTTTACCGGAAATGGGAGCCATTCTTCTAGCCATGCTCTCTTAGCTTCACACAGTAGTTTTCACAACGACAACTTACTATCGATGTAAAAGACATTTTGCCTTAAAGCGAGTACACACAGTTTTACCACCACATAGGCATAAACGGTCATGATGCCATATGATTTGATCTGCCGTGATGGAGGCTTTCATTTGCAGAGTGCAAATTACGTTTCGTTCTGGAGCTGAACACTTGATAGCATCCGGGCACCTTGCACCGGAACATTTCTAGTAAGTGAAGCTGCTCGTAGTGCTCTTTCATGGAAGTCCGATCAGGATAAGAGAATGAACAGAACCTACATTGGAGTAGGCCATCATTGTCGGACTTAGGAATATCTTCATCGACATTGTAGAACAAGGGAGGAAGAGGAGAGGTAGGCGAGACGAGGTCAGATTTACCATTCAAGCCAGGAATCTGGGAAAAATGACTGGGAATACCGGGGAAGCCAGGTATGCGAGGCAAAAGGAGACCTGGATGGGGTGGTAAACAGTCACCGTTTATCCCGCCAAAAGCGACAGGCAACTGACTTTGGAAACTTGGATCGGAGTAAATTCGCGCTAGAAATTCGTGTGGGAGAGCAGGGTTTGATACTAAAGATGAAAAAGGAGAGCTTGGATCTAACATGAACGGATTTTTATCAGATGAAGTTGATAGCAGTTTCCTGTGCAGATTCAAATTAGTGCTGTGTCTATCTCGACTCCGTTTCGATGGGAAGGAAGCGTTGCATCCTTCAACGGTGCACTTGTGCATCAATTTAAGGTGCACATTTTGGTAGTGTGTTTTGACGCCGAAGTGATTTTGGAAAACTTTACCGCAAGCGGTGCATTTCCGCGGGTTCTCCTTGTCTATCGGCACGTCTCCAAAATCGTCTGAGCCTTGTCCGAACTCATCCGAGTCTCCGGAGCACAGGGACGACCCGGGTGATCCTGCGGGGCTTTGCAAATCAACATCATTACTAAAACCTCGAGAATTTGTAAGCTGAGCTCCTTCTTCATCATGAGCGTTTCCTGAACTATCCTTTTTATTCAAAGCTATCGGCTCGGTTTGGGAGCTTCCTGTCCAATTTTCTTTCTCTTCTTTCACTCTAACATCCTCATCACCAGTAGCTGGGCTGTTAGCTTCGTGCTTATCCTCGTTACTGTGTTTCGTTTCAATGTTATTGTTAATGGATTCCCTAAAGTAATTGTCTTTGATATCTTGATCACGCTCGTCCTTCGGGCGTTTTACACTCAAGTCCTCTGTCTTGTCCCATTCTGGGTGATCACTATGTTCGGAAACGTTCGATGGAAAAACATTATCATTTGATTCTTCCGAGACGGGATCCTCTTTATCGGACAAATGCATCGAAACAGTGCACCTTGTTGGGTTCTGCGATTTCCGTTTCCGAGAGGACTTGGTCGTTAGATTCTCACCGTTCTCCTCTTTGACGCTGTAAGAGTCGACGACGCTCAGTGAATCTTCGTTGCTATCGATATTACTGACATTCTCATTCTCATCAGCTTCCGAGTCGGTGAGTTTACACCTTTTAATTTTCATATCTTCAGGTTTGTCTTCAGAGTGAGGCTCTGAGTCCATTTCCTCAGAGTCATCTTCACCTCCGTCAACGACAATACCCTCTTCATCGTCATCATCCGTGGTGAAACCCTCCGGGTCGTTCATGTCGCCTTTAGGCATCTCTTGTTTGTTCAACCTCAAGTCGAGGGATTGCTTGAAATCTAGGATTGAGGCCGCATTGCGGGGGTCAGTCTGAGGGGTGAGGAGTGAGAATGGACCGAAAGATAGTGGATTAAGCCCCGCGTTTAACGGTGGTATCAGCATGGGGTGAGCCTGCGCGGAGCGGCCGTCATGTGGCGAGATCTTGCGGCGTAGGTTAGGAGAGTGAAGCTTGGGGTTCGGGTTAGCCGAATGCCTGTTCCTTGACCGACGGGAACTGAACATCATATTGCAGCCTTGAACTGTGCACTTGTGCATTTCGCGTAGATGCACTGCCGAGAAGTGTATCTTCAGGGCGCCTTTGTCGCAGAAAGTTTTCAGACAAACGTTACACTGTACCCGTTTCTTCCCGGTGGCGGGGTTGATGAGTTGCGTGCCTAGGTTGAGAGGTAGATCGGAGGAGTCCCAGCGACGCTTCATCGGGGTCGAGCCTTTGCGGAAGTGCCCTAGTCGCTGGCGTGGCTGCCTGGCTTGCGAGTCGCGGCTGAGATTGAGTGCGTTTTGCGAATCGTCGTCATCTTCATCATTGGAACCGAATTCGCTGCTTCCAGCTAGACTTGAGAAATCGCCGGAGGGTGATTTGTGCCCGGACATGGGTCCCAGAGAACTGGTCGTCGTAACCGGGGGAGGAGGAGGGGGTAAACACATAGGTTGAGGACTAGTAACGCACAAATTCATGAGAGCCGGTGGACTGGTGTCAGATGTATCTGACAAGCGTCTCCGCTCTGGGGAGGACTTCATAGATGGAAAACTGACACCCATTTTTCGATAGTCGAAGGGTTGCATGTTTTGTAGTCTGTTCAATGGGGACACAGAAATTGGACTACTGATATTGCTAGACGGAGAAGTGGGGGGACCGTTTGATGTTGTTGTTGGGGTGCACGTTAACCCAGTTGCTGGGAGTTTCAGGTAGTTGAGAGGGTTTTTCTGATGAGCTGGCGAAACAGGGGGCGCGGAGGTCCGCGAAGTAGGAATCTGATGTACTGATGTGGGTGGAAGAGGAGGTGTCCTTGACCTGGGAGGCGGTTGCAAGGACTGTACTGGCTTGATTGTGACACGGTCTTCTTTGTGCGACGATCGGTTCGTCGAACCCGTTGATGTTGGGACCGTGTGCGAATTAGTTTTTTCGAGGATTTTCTTCAGATCATTTTCTAACCTAGGGAGTCGCATCTCAGCTACACCATGCAAGAGTAGTTGTTGTGTTATTGCACGGGTTTCACCAAAACGAAGGAACTGCTGGAGGACGAGGGGCTCTTCCTCAGGACTACAAATGTTCCATTTGTCTAGTACGGCTCCATGTGGTTCCTGCAAAAATATAAAAACACAAATCTGATAAGTTTTTGATGTAGAAGGAAATATATTTTATACCAAATGAGAAAAAAACATTAAGAAGTGGCCCGAATACCTTCTTACCTTCTATCTCTATCTATCTATCTATCTATCTATCTATCCCCTGGTAAAAATTGGCGGTAGAGTGTGTGTTCCAAAATACTATAGACCTAAAGCCGGCTGTAAGATTTCTTATAGCCTTTTATAGCTGATGGCGATTCAGCAACAGCCAGACGATAAAGTTTACACTAAACGTTACTAAATACGGATACTAGGACTTCGTTAGTTTTTGGACTACCGCTTTCTTTTTGTGCCGACTTTGTGTTGCGAGGAAAGCTCCGTACTTTTGAAGGATGCCTGTCATTCTTAATATGTTGGAGCGCCTTCAATTTCTTATGATACTTTGCAATACCTCTGGTGTGAAATAGTTGCTTCAGACGCCGTGGCACGCTGCGGCGCGGCGGGCGGGCAGAGAGCGCGAAACGCGCATTGGCGCCTACAAACCTAACAGGGATACTTCACGCATTGCGCAATGCGTGAAGTATCGCTGTTAGGTTTGTAGGCGCCAGTGCGTCGCCGCGCAATGCGTGAAGTATCCCTGTTAGGTTTGTAGGTGCCAGTGCGTCGCCGCGCAATGCGTGAAGTATCCCTGTTAGGTTTGTAGGCACCAATGCGTCGCTGCTCCGCTTTGTGTTAGGCTCTAATATTTGATCTCGCGGAGTCAGCGTTTTTCAACTCATGATTTTGAAATGTTTGCACACTCTGTATGGACCATCTCATTTTAATTGATGAAATAAAATATGTTTTAAAGGAAAATATAATGTGTGTTTTGTAAATATTAAGGTAGTTCCGTACCAAACTTAATGATTTCCAAAGCACACGAATTTCTTATAGCCTTTTATAGCCAATGGCGATAAAGTGTAAAGCCCGGCGATAGGAACTATAGCCCGACTGTATACTTTTTTATAGCTTCGTATAGCCCGGCTATATGATTTGCTTCGCTTTCTACAGCCAGCTATATGATTTTCGATAGCCTTCTTTAGTCGGCTATAAGAGCTCCTATGGTATTTTGAAACGCAGCTCGTATCGCAAATTTTTACCAGGGTCTATCTATCTATCTATCTATCTATCCATCTCTCTCTTCTATCTTCTATCTTTTTTGTTATGCTACCTTTTATACCTAATTCAAACCTGACTCTACGAGGGATAATTGCGTATTGCAATTGAAAGAATTATTTTTTATTTACAAGGAATAAAAAGGTGTATTATTTTTCGTAAATTCGCTAATTCGCGGAAAAAATATCAAAATGTTACAGAAAGTAAAACAGGAAAGCAGCTTAAAGAAAACATGTGGCCGCATGTGTTTATAAGTTGATATTACTTTTGAAAAAGAGAGAGGAACAAAATGGAACTCGGTATAATCGAAATGCTACCTTTGTTCACACAGAGCTAACCGAGAAGCGAGTCCATTTTTATTCAATTGATAACGACAGACTTCTGCGCTGAAGAGGAGCAGAAGCTCAAACGAGGATCATAAGTTCACCGCAAACAACGTTGCCAGGCTACGCCTTACAAGGGAGCCCCATGCACCACTCAAGACGTGGTAATGTGGCCATTTCAAACTCGACCTAGCAGCGGCCGGGCAGATTAAACACTGTTTTCACTGCGAGCGGAAGGAAAATAACATTAGGAGGATCTCGGGCAGTAGCTCAGAGCACTTTATTTTTACAAGATGATAATAAAAATCCAATACTTGATTGGTTCATTAGGAGGAAATTTATAAGGGAAAACATAGGATGTTGCCCATTAACAAGGACTCGTGCGGCTGCCGAGGGAGAGGGCACGGAGCCCTTCAGGGCAGAGTCGAGACCACTTGTTTTTACCCTTTCGTTTCTGTTTCGCCAGCTCGTAATGGCTGATCAAATTACGGCCGATCTCCCGGGAAATGCTCTGGCTCGTGTATTTCTGTGTACCATATTAACAAGTACCGTACGACCCCCGGACTCCGGTCCTGCCGCATCGCAAACACCCGACGGATACCCATCTTAGACATGTCTTCTCCTCTCGGCTTTCGCAACCCTTTCGCCTTTCGCTCGACCGTTCACGAGCCCCTCTTTTCGTCCTCCTCCTCGTCCCCCGTCCACCCTTCCACCCTTCCAAAATATCCTCTTGGATTACCTTTCCTTTACCTTCACGTCTCTTTCTCCTATAGTTTATTTTGCTTCCTGCAGTCTGGTCTGTCTCTTCGCTCGTAAATTTATGCTTATCATTCATTTTAGGAAGAATAATAATTTGCACAATACGAAATCAAGATTTGAGTATGAAGCTACCCTCCTAGTGCGGTGAGAAAAAGAAAACCGATGACTAAAATAAAAATGCGTTCCTCCATGCAACGTTCAAAAATATCCGATCATTTTTCATTTTTTGAAAAAATACCTAGCCCGAAGAATACAATATTTTGTGAATATCTTAAAAAAAAGTGAAAACAAATTCACATAAATTTTAGGAAGCATTGTTGAGTGGCTACTTTTTTGCGGTGTGCGATCTCGCAATTAGAGACATGGAAAGAAGTATGGGCATAGGGTTTGCGTGAAATAGTTACAATAGTCGAAATATGCACTTAAGCCATTGATATTACCTAAGTTTTTTTCCCCTAAAAGGACCTATTGCACGCAAATCAAATGCACACTTATTTTTAGCATATATACATGCGTACAGTCAATTTAACGGGGCGTTTTATAAAATATCTAATTTTCAAAAATTATCCAGAGATTTACAGCTTAAAATGGAACAAAAGAGTAAATCGTCACATTTAATTTTAAAATGTTGAATCGAAAAGAAATTCTTTAATTGGTATAGCTTTTGAATATAAAGTGAAATTAAGGCATAAATGGGTACTCTGGGAAGGAGAGCATGTCTAAGAAATCAAATACCTGATCCCAGATTCAAAATTGTTCCCCGCACGTGAGTCATATTTTGCTACTTAATTAAAACCTGGACCCATGCAAATATTTCAATCCGAGAATTACGAGAAAGGATATTAACCTCACGAAGACTCCCCTAATTGGTACTTGGGTCGAAGATCCCCAAACTGCAGGCAAATCAGCAGAGTTTAGCGTCCTAAACGCAGCTCGAATTTGACGATACAACCCTTCCCGTTTAAAAAAAACGCATTCTTTTTAATTTCGGGTTAGACCGCTCCACTCTTCATCGTGCGGGACAAAGACAGAAAACCCTCCTGACAAAGCCCTAAACGCCTCATAACCCGACCGAAACTGGGGGGAGGGGAGATTTTAGTTTAATTTGATTTACTAAATAATACACTTTTGACCAGATAGGTAATGGTAAACATAATTATACGGTCGGGGCTATTCTGGAATTCGTGAGAGGCGTTATCCTGGCAGCTGGGGAGGGGGGGGGGGGGGGGGGGTGGCGAAGGAGAGTCAGGCCGTTAGCGTGAGCGTCCTATCCCGGCGCACAGTGGACCGAATCAATTACAGAGGTCGGACATGAAATTTTTGACTTAAACTGCAAATTTTGACGTCTATTTCGTCACATTTTAAGCTTCAAGGGGTGATTCTAGAGGAAAATTTCACGAGGAAATCGATGGAGCCACTTTTAGAACCTCAAAATTTTGTCTGAACGGATTTCTAAGCGTTTAAAGTTTCCAAATTTTGTCCGGCCTCTCCTATTGACTCGATCCACCGTGCGGCGCGGCGTGGCGTGGCGTTCGCAGCAACAGCGCCGAGCGTTGAGCAATCCAGGACCCGAGACACGGCCGGCACTCACGGCAGTTGAGACGCTCGTCGTTTGGTGCTATTAATTACAGGTGCAAGGGTAAAAGGTTTCCGAGTGTTTATTATCGCCGTTCGGCTTCTGTCTCACCGTCGTCGCGGTGCCGGATTTGTCACGCAATAACTTGAAAAAAAAAATAGAATTAAAAAGGAGAGGGAGAAAAGAGGAAAGAAAGTATTATCGCATTATAACCTTTTACCCCGCGGTGAATTGACACGAAGTCGATATTGGCGCGGTTGCGTAACGAGAGACTAGGAAATGATTGGACATCAAGTCGCGGTTTGCCATCGTGGGCGTGGGGCAAGTTAAAACAGCCTAAAAAAGAACGCAAAATTTTAGGGAGTGATGATTGCATTATGCAAAGAGGAACCAGAGGCATTCCGATGATGCTACGATTGTGCAACTTCATCCTTCGCGATTATATTACTAAAATTATAAAAAAATATTAGATTTACAAGATTTGTGTCCTAAATTTACAGTTTTTAGCGAGTAAAATAGAAACTGTTATGCATAATCAGGTCGTTCTTCCAAGGCAAAGTAAGTTCCACAATCTTAGCAACATTACAATGTTCCTGATTCCTTTTGGCAAAATGCAATCCAATTAATGTCTTGTACAACGAAAAATCTTTTCGATTGGCAAAATGCGTTCTCGTCTCTTAATCATCGATTTATAAACTCGCCCTATTGAACTTTCAGTACTGCGGTCCACGGAAACCAAATAATTGCCTGATGCACTTAATTTCAGCTCTACGAGCTCAATTTTTTTTTCATTTTCCTAAAATTGATTTAATTTTTTTTTTCGAAACTTCAGCATCTTTGTACTACAAGGTGTTGTAGCACAGTTCTTGAATTTTGAAAAATTTTCGCCTTTGGACATAATCTTTCATTATTTTTGAAATCGATTTTTAGATAATGCATCACTATTAAATGCCTCGTTTAAAATTATTAGTAACTAGCGATCGAAATTACAGCGGAAAGTGCAAAAATAATTCATAAAACACATGAACCAAATTGTTTCAACAGGAAGGTTCACCTCGACCAAGCGCGACCTCCCGGTTTCGCAGTTTCGATCGAGATGGCAGCACTGTGGCCGGATAATGCGCTTGATTGCTCGCTCCTTAACCGCGCTGGAAAAATGGTTTTGGTTTTTAACAGCCCGAAATTAAGGCTTACGACTCGACTTGGATACTAAACGTCAGCGTGTGACTGCACTCGCCGGAGGAGGAGGGAGGGAGTAGGAGGGTAATTATATCCTCCCCAATTGGGAGCCGTCACAGTGCCTCGTAGCCGCGGGATTTCATTCGGATGCGTTTTTCTCGAAAAAAAGAAGAAAAAAAAACACGGGACAAATGTTTTCCGTGATTCGGAGCGCTAATAACGGACGATCATGCAACCAGTGCTCGAGCGGGTTTCATCACTGATCAACCTGTTCCGCCGAAATTCGAGTTAATTTTTGAGTGTGTTAGAATCACGCCGTTCCACGATGAGGTCCGGTGTGTGATGTTCGTTTTCGAGGCTGTAGGCTCAATCGTCGAGAGTAAAAACACAGTGATTTTGATTGAAAAATCACTGAGGAAGGGAAAGAAATTCTACTATTAGTCACGTCGACACAGCTTTCACCGTCACCGTGATTTCTGCGTGTCTAGTGTTACTCTGTGATACCTTTTTTGTGGCAGATCAACCTAAATGGATTTGTTGCTTAACACAACTATGTGTTAAATCGACCTAGACCGTAGGTATTGGGGCATGAAGAGGGTGTCCTGTACTACGGAGCTTCTGTTCTCTTGTTTTTTCCTCCCTGATTTCACAATCAGAGGTTGCGACTTACGAGTGGCTAGCGCATTGGATTACCGCCGATGCGCGATTCAGATTCGATCCTGGTGGCTGGCGCTTAATTTGTAAAGCCCGTATCAGACGATCAAAGTAGAGGTTTCAAAGAGACTCATCGATTGCTCAGACTTAAACCGCTGGCCAATGAGAGGGCCAGGAAAGGCATCGATGAAACTCTTGGAAGCCTCTAGTTTGATCGTCTGATACGGGCTTAACGAGGTTACAGATTTTCAACACAAAGATTTTGTCACTTCAACCCAAAGATTTGGTCTTTTCAACCAAAATATTTGGTCGATTTCATCGCCCCTCGGGCGCAAGGGCGTAATTTTCAAGTGAGCCGGGTTTGACATAAAAATCAGTGATTCTTGGGGCTCATGCGGAAATCGAGATACGTTCTTACGTCATGGGAGCGACGATTTGACACGGAACACAAAACAAATTAACAAACAGTCTGCGTCACTTCGTGTCTTACTTCCCGCAGAAACACAGAATTTTGGTTACTTATGCTCATGGATCGTATTCGATAGTGGCTCGATGTATCGTTCGGTTCAGAACAATAGAACAAAACCTCAAAACATAATTTTTTGGATTTCAGTTAGAAAAGCTGGAAATGAGAAAATTCCTAACAATTTCACTTTTTATTGCCCCTAGGTACTCAGCAAAATAGAAAATCTATCACAAAAGGCCCATTCCCTTAGATTTCTAAATTGACTTTTGAGGCTATGTTCACGCGTTGAACCGATCGATATCGACACAATCTCGCCTGTTTGATGTGTCGAACACGATGCGCTCTGCCGCTCATCATCTATTAATTATCGCCAAGAAAAGAAATGAAAGCAAGACTGTTATTTTAGTACGAAAAAATCCGAGTATCATGACTGGGTGTTACGTCTACATCGGGGAGGCGAGAAAAGCGGGTCAACAGGTGACCTTGCGCCAGCCGCGACAACGGAAAAGTGCAATTAAACACCGAGATGCAACCTTTGCGCAATCTTGAGTGTCGGCGCATTTGAGTGTGTGCAGTTTTCTCCCGGCAACGAAAAATGACAAACCTTTGCCGTTGCGGTCCTCGCCCGACGGAGAAAAACTTTTTCACTGATAAGCTGTCCCGATAAGCTTGTCGCGCCGCCGCCGGGGTTCTCAGAGCTGTGTGTGAGCGTGGTCAATGCGCCGATCCGACGAGATTGAGAAATTGCCAAGAGAGAGGGAGAGAGGGATGAGAGAGAAAGAGAGACGGAATTCACTCGTATTACAGGCTGTACATAAATATAGTTTTGAAGAGCTACATAATATAGAGAGTTTATGAGAAAGGGGGTAGTGGGAGGACGAAGCCTAGAGGGTGTACAAGGGGGGTGGTGAGGGGGCTCCGGGAGGGTGATTGTGAAGAATAGCAACTTTTGAGGCATGGCAGGGGACTTGAGATAACGGGCTGATGGGTCATTTTAGCGCGACCCTGATTACAGCGGCGGCCTTTATCAATATAGCAGCAGTGCCATGTTTGTATACTAAAATATCCATAAGTTCATTTGATTAGATTATACTGATGATCCTTGAAGAAGCAACTATAACGCCCAAAATTAAGTCTACATTTCGAAAATGAATAATTGAATACCAACGCGCGGTGAGGGGCTCCGCGTTAATTTTGGCGGGAGATGACGCATTTAACTATTGGCAAAATGTGTGCGGTAAAAGTATGATGCATCTTCATATGAGCTTTGAAAAAAAACAAAAAAAAAAACAAAAAAAAACAAAAAAAAAACCACCCTCTGTGACACTCTTCTAAACACATTTCCTTCCTACGAATGACTAGGTTGTGACTCTGTTTACCAAACCTTTGAGTGCCAAGACTTTATTATATTACGTTTTATTTAATATTGAGCACTTTCAATGATTACAAGGGACTGATCACAGAAAATAACGCTAAATTTCGAATTTTTCCATGGAGGCTGTGTGCTCTTATCCTTCAACGCGCGAACCTAAATTGGCGTAACGCTCTCCTTAACCCCCTTCTTCCTAGAGCCTAGCCCTATAGGCGTTTTTTTATGGAAGACCCCTAATTTCACATTTCACCAAACTGAATTTTACAAAATCCTGCAACCATCGATGTCAGTTAATTCTTTAAAATATAACTTTGCCTCTTTTAAAAACCTCAGCGAAAACTAGTTAAAGGTGGTTTTTGTGTCTTTGTTTTGTGAAGTTATTTATTTCATCGAGGCAACAGCGAGTGACCTCTCGGGTGAACTTCAAAAGCGGTCTGGTCACCGAGCCTCCAATTAAATCACTTGGTTGGCGCTGATATCGCTGATGACGCGTCAACGCGCCGCACCGCTGTGGTGTCAAAGTCGTTTTTTCGTCATCGAAGTCTCGGACTTAGGCGCTTACGGTACTCGTTTGCGTGGCAACCGACCCGAGGCGCGGCGGTTAGGTAAGCCTGCCGTCCGAAAGCTACGCCGAAACGGCTCGTGACAGACCTCGAAACGGTTTGTGACCCCTGATACGCTGAGTTTCGGAAAACGGCGGCGAACATCATCAAAGAAAGAGTGTCGCGTGCCGCGAAAAATCTCCGTTGCTCATTAGTCGTAAAGGCGGGCGAAGGTCACCGTAGTTTCCAGACCTTCGTGCGCCTGTTTTTTATTTCCCTCCAAAACTCAACAACAATAGAGAGAGAAAAGCTGACCCGTCATTTTTGTCGCGTACGATTTCAGAAATAGATACGTTTGAAGTTCCCCGATCTTGCTCTGTTGTTTCGTTCTTGTTTTGTGTTGGTTAATGTTGTTCAAAAAAACCCGGGAAAATTCCTACGAGCTAAGTGCAGTCTCTAGTACAATTGAATTCTTTTTCAGTACATTCCCAAGAAATTCAGTACCTCCTCAACAGAAGAATTCAGTACTTTTTCAGTACCTCCAATTGACGAAATTCGAAAAATTTCAACTTTCCGCTCAAATTGAGACAAAAATGACAAAAAATGAAAACAGTTTCGGACCTTTTTGCGGAATTTTGCACTTTTTCAGTACTTCCGGACCGCCCTTAAAAAATCAGTACTATTTCTGGACTTTCCTGAAATTCCGGACTTGCAGACATCCTATTCGTACTTTATCTGAAGAAATTTGGCAACGCCTGAATGTTTGTACGACGTTCTTCCTTGAGGCCTGGTTACACGCTCAAATTTCCGTCAAATTCCGATCAAAATGATGACCAACATGGCGGTCGAGAGTTATCTTGATTGATGAGTAAAATTAATTAAAATGGCGTATTGATTGAAATAAGCATGAAATAAGCAGTTGTATGGAAATCAGATGAAGGATGAGCCCCACAGTTCCATCATCTACCATCAAATTTTTACAGGCTGCAGAAATTTGATGGTAGATGGTGCGCACCAGTCACCATTTGATGGGAAATTGATGGGAATTTGAGCGTGTAACCAGCACATTGGCATGGCAGAATACTGGATGTTGGAGTGATGCTCACCTGGAGGATGTAGCCGCGAGCGTAGTCTTCCTGGGACCATCCGAAGCCGGCGAGGACTTGGGTGACCTGGTCGCGGTGGAGGACGCTGAAGAGGCGGTCGAGAAGGATCTTGAGCCGGATCGGGAGGGCCTGACACCCGTAGAGCACCAACGAGGCGATGTCGAACACCACGTTCGCCTGCACCGGCTCCACCGGGCTCCCACCCAGGACGTGCCGGAATCCCAGCTTGTCCAGTGCTGCAACATACAAACAAACTCCGTCAAGGATTTTCACTTGACACGTGACAAACACCTTGAAAATCGATCCTTTTTCATGTGTTTAAATGGCAAAATAGATCCTTTTACGTGTGGTTAAATGGCAAAATAGATCCTTTTTCATGGGTTTAAATAGAAAAGTCAATCTTCTTATGAATGACACTTTTCCACGGATTTAAATGGAAAAACCGACCCTTTCCAAGGCTTTAAATGGCAAAATCGATCCGTGGGTTCGAATGACAAATTTTGGACGTATTTCTACCAAACAGACCTATGTGGAGGTGAGAAATATATGGGGTGTGCTCGTCGAAGCTGCATAAGAAGCAATGTAAAAGTGTGCGTGATTCCTTTTAAAGAATTGGAAAAGCGGGATTCTACATTCTATCAAACAGACCTATGTACCAACTGAATGCGGCAGTCATGAGCCGCGAGGATGGGACGAGAGCGTTGTGGATAGGGCTCATGAGTTAAAGACGAAGCGGAGGCGGGACCGCGGTGAACGGCGGCATTTCCATCTCCATTGACGTCACTGGCGCTTTATTATTCTCACTCACTCTTACGGCCAGAGAACTAACGAGCACACCCTATATTTCTCACTTGCACATAGGTCTGTTTGATAGAAATACGTCCATAATTTGATTCATTTCCATGGGTTGAAACTGCAAACTCGAACCTTTTTCACGGGATTTAAATGGGAGATGAATATCGATTCATCGAAAAGCAGGACACGCGACTGAACTCATCACCTGAGCGTCCTTGCATTCTGCGGTTACTTCCGACTCGAAGGGACGAGGCCCATGCTTTCACCGGGGCCGGTCCGAAGGGTCCGAATGATAACCGAGCCAGAATAAACAAATTAAAGCTCCCGCCTGAACATGCTCAACATCCCGGGCAAGTTTGCTTCCTCCTTGAGCAGCCGCGGCCACGACCTAGTCGCTAATTGAGCCTTCAATTAAGTTATGTAACCCTTTCGCCCCCGGCTCCGCCTCGACAAACCCGGGTCGCTACCCCCCGAGCCCGAGATCCTCTCCTGAACCACCCCCGCCCCCGCACAATGGGATCATCCCTCACCACTCGATGCCAGTTCCTGTATTCTGAGCTCACGTTAGTTGGCTTGTTCGTGGACAAAATATTTTGAGACCTATACCTTAAAATTAATCAAATCAAATTGTAATTTAACTATTAGATTTTATGAACAATTGTATAAATATTGACATTCAAAATTTTTATCTTATTTTTGATAGGAAGTTAATAACTTGTATTTTTAAAAATGAAGTACCTACAAATACCTTGAAGTCGAAATTAATTGTTATACTTCTACTTGAAAGCACTTTTTGTGCTCGCAAACGCAAGTAATATGCATGGAAAAAATGGATTGCTGATTTGACAATTAAATTATGTTTCAAATGTACATTTTACAATAGTGGAAAGCTAATTTAACCACAGGGGTACTGGTTAATTTGGCATTTTTTATTGTAAAATATACATTGAAACATGACGGAAACTTTTTTAGCTAAACAATTGGTAAATCAACAAAATCATTTTTTTCCGTGTGTTGTTAGTAGATGATAATTTTAGTAGATCCTTTTACGGTACATGCATGTTAGATGCGTTTGATCTTGAAGAAAATATCACCTTGCTTAAAGTCAAGAACTTTGACCCTATGTGATGCACAAGTTCACTCTTGGCGACCCGTCTCTTCGTCGTTGGCTAGGGTCCTTCTGGAGTGGGGAGGGATNGGGGGGGGGGGGGGGGGGGGGGGGGCTCGAGGATCAGTCTTGTTGACTCTTGAAGGAGGAGCAAACGGCGGTATTTTGCACGGAATTATTAATTACATACCCGGGTATCATTCATGGGTTGAATTTAGATTGTCAAACTTGACCGAGATAACCTTATCGTGCAGGAGCGACCGTAGAAATTTTTGGCGAACTCGGCAACCTGAGGATGTATGCGCCGGCCATTATGTTTTGATTTGCTCCTTAGCCATTGCCCTCGCCTGATCTTGGCCTTACTCGAGCTGGGCCGTAATTAGTTTATTTGCCCGATTTATGCCTGCCTGTCCCTTCAGCCGGGGATAAATAATTCGGCTCGTGTTTGACTTGCACCTCCCGAGTCAGGCGATCCGGTTGGCGGGGCGCGCATGAGCTGTAATTTTACCGCTCAACTTGTACCGACTTTACAGCGGAAAACGAACGCCCCTTTCAGGTTGGAGAAAGGTCCACCCAAGATTAGACAGTGATATCGTTTCCAATATACTGATGTAAAAAATAATCGACATTTGAAGTGTCAGTAAGACTATCATCGTTTGCAAAATACGTAACGCACTTTTTCAGCATTTTGGACCCCTCCTCTTTTCTTGTAACGCTTTGGTGACGTATGTGCCCTTATCTTTTAATACGTAAAAGCAAAGTAGCGTGAATTCGTGACGCTCTCCTCGACCACTCCGCGCCTCTTGGAGCGTCACGTAATTTTTTATGAACAAAATGTCACATGTAATGTAATCACAATAGAAGCATATGTTCACGATAAAAATGTATCAAGTCTTCAATAGAAGTATACATTCACGATAGAAATGTATAAAGTCTGTACAATTACAAATATTTGTTCACGATCGAAATGTATCGAGTCTATCTCGATTATTGATGCTTTGATTGATTTCTGTCCATATTGTTCCATAAAAATCATAAGAATGAGGCATGCAAAATTTCTCGGTCGTATGACAAAAATTCCGGAAGCAATGATGGTTCAATTAGCGGCCAGAGTGTCCGAAGGAGGCCGGGCCCAGTGCAGCGTCTAATTATAACGCACGCACGTTTGGTCTAAGGCCTAATTAAAATAATTAACCGCCTTAGAGCAAAATACATCGCATTCAAGTGAAGGTGGGCGAGGGGGTGGCTAATTACTATAATTGAAATAACGAGCCCCGCTCCGTGAATCGAAGTTAACATGATATGGTCGACAGCGTGCCGACGAAACTTGTGTAAAATATCGAAAATGTGTGGAGCGTTAGCAAATTCTAGAGATCAGATTTTATAATATCGTGAATCACAATCCAAATCTCGACGGGTCATAAGTTTATTTGTTAATGAGCCACGGAAAAAAGAGGAAGGGGTTGTTGGATGATATATGGGCAGTGCCAATAATTAATTGTAGTAGTAGGTGCCCCAATTGATTGTGGTGGTACCCCCAATGAATTGTGGTAATACTCCAATAAATTAGGTTACTAACCTAAATCTTGCGGGCCTACCCCTATAACTGAGGGACCTGGAGGACAAAGCGCATACGGGCAGTTTTTCTATTTCCAGAAATATATATTTGAAGTTCCGAAATTTATACATGGATCCTAGTGGCGGAGGAAAAATTCCAACTGACTTCTCGATGCGTGAAAACTGGAATTTGTGAGCAAATTTTTCATAAAACGTATGCATTAAGACTAGTTCCATACAGAACCATTAATGGTTAGGTACCATTAATATCTCAATTTTTCCAAAACCTGTACTTATGCGCCTTGTTCTCCGAGCCCTTTAAGTTGAGTCGCAGAGCTGCCGTAACTTGAGTACGGTACTACTTTAACTTATTGGAAATGCTCATACCATCCGACATATTGGGGTCGTACCAAACTTTTATGGGATAACCCCATACTTTCTTCCGTGGCCACGCAGGGATTTGGGCATTCCCGACATGAGTACTTGTCCAATTTGTAGGAGACGATAGGCATTTGGGTAAATATTCTTGGTGTTCATCATGGCAGTGCAGTCTGCGTCCTTTCGACAGTAGCTCAATTTCAAAGGGTTGCATATCCCTGAGCGCCGGATGCGAAACCCGGCGGCAGATTTGCAGGCCGCGAAGTCAACGGAAGGCGGTTACATATTCATCAATCCCTCCGCCTAGAAAGCCCTTCACGAGTGAAAAAGGTTCAGAAACACATCACATTTTTTGCTCCACTCCAAAGAGGCAACTTTTTTGCACTGCTATCTCCCCCCCCCCCCCCCNCACCACTCCATGTAGGATCGAAATTTGATGTATTGAATCGATTCGGTATTCCAGTGCTCTGATCTCAACGAGCCTGAAACATGAAATGAGGTGCAAGAAACTGCTTACAAGGATAGGTATAGATGGACAGAAAGTGTCTAATTTTACGCTTTGACGAATTATTCGAATTGAAAAAAGGCGGGAACTGCCATGGAGGTAAAGCAATCGATATTCTTTTAGCTATCATAGGATGACGTCATTTATTTGATATATCGAATCGCAATGCGCTAAGCACTGAATACGTACTGGCGGTTGCTTACACAGTACCGCCAATTTTGTCGTTGCGCTCTTTTTTTTCGGATGATTCACGCGGAAAAAGTGTAGTATGTTTCATGAAATTGGCAAAATTGCTCTTATTAAGGCGTGCTTTCCGGTCAAGAGCCCCGTGGAAAGGGAAGAGGGAAAAATCGAGAGAGTATCTCTTCCCGCAACGACGAGAGACTGGTAGCAAAGTTCGTAAATAAATAAAGCGAACATAAAAGCTGGAAGTTAAAAAAAAGGCCTCAGCTTCGACCTCTGTTTTCCACCGCAAAAAAGAAAAAAAATCCCGCGGACCTTAAAGTATAGTGTTGAGTGAAGTTGATCCGTTACAGAGGTTTTGCTGGAATATAATGAATCGGAGGAAAAGAGTGAGCCATGCTGGTCACTGGGTTTTATTGAAACCTCATATTGTCTCATAAAAAAGTTATAAATTATTATTTTTTTTTTCATTTTTTTTTGGAAAAATTAAAATACATGTGCACATCACGAAGCGTCCATAAAGAATATGTATAATAAGGTTGGAATCCTTATAAATTCCAGATGTTTTACACATAGGCGTCCTTTCTTTGAAACATCAATATCTATACTTATAAAATATAAATAAATGTTCTACTTCATGGATTGATAGCGTACCGTGTGCTTCAATCGATATAATATAAAATTAACAAAGAAGGGCAGCGGACAAATGT